GAGCACCCCGCAGCACATCTCACAGTGTACGTGACTGGGACGTGACTCACAGACTCAATGGGGACTAAATGTTCAATGACATCCCTGCTTGGACGTTGCGAGCTCGTTGCGAGATTTCCCAGTTGCGTGCGAACACTGACGTACGTGCGCGCCTCGAGCCTGCATCATGTGCAGATGTAAAGTACGATAAGTCAGGCTGCGGGGCCATTGCAGAATTTTAAAGCCAGGCGGCCACAGGCGGCCACTGGCAAAGCGGCCGCGGGCGGCCTATAACGGCGAGCGCGGGCGGCCTCCGGGGCGCCGGGCGGGTGAAGTAGAAGCGCGGCCGCGTGACCGCGCGGTTTGGCAACGGTCCCTTAGTAGATACTTCTCGATTTCATGTTGACTAACTAATAGCATGTTGACTAAGGACAGTGCTCGGGGACCAAAACAAACTAAAAACCTAAACCCAAAATTGACACGCTCCGCACCCGTACCCACCCTAACCCCCAAACCAACCCCACCCGTCCCCCGGGCGCCCCCCTTAGTCAACATGGCCCTTAGTCAACATGAAATCGAGACAAGTCTTAGTACGGTAGCTAGCGGACTCAGAGTTACGTCACACCGTCGTGACTGGCCGGGCACGTTGTCTCAGTGCGGCAAGTACGACGAAGCATTCTCCTTTTGTTAGTGTCTCAGGCTTCAAAAAGTGTGAAAACATTTCACACGCGGGATCATAGGCTCTCAAGGTGTCCGCGTGGAATAAAATGTCAGATCAGGTCCTTCGATCAAAACTTTGTCAGAGTTGTCAGATTTTACGGTACAATATGCGGTACGGACTCGGTACAGATGGGGACCGGGTCAGAGAAAGTGGCTACCTACACTAAACCAAAAGGACTCTGCCCGGTTGTCACTGTCAGTGAGGAACCCTAATGTCACTGGGAAATGACGTAACCCTAACAAAAGGCTAGTCGATTGCCACGAACCCGTCACAGGTTTGCAACCTAACCCTAATGTCACAGTGAGGCCCCGGTCACTGTCAGCGTCACTGTCAGCGTCACTGTCAGCGTCCTAACCACAGCCCGTAACCGCTGTCAGAGTCGCGACTTTGAGGATTTCAGGTTTTTGCGTGTGTTTACACCCATTTGGCGGGGCGGAGACACTAACAAAAGGAGAATGCTTTGATAGTTTTGCCTCAGTGCGGGCGCGCCGCGCCTTCTGCGCTGTGACGGTAGCATCCGTCCGAGTGACGTAATACGTTGCCAATCTGCATGTGCACCGCCGGATTTAAAGTTCAGCGGTACTGAACCCTGATTGCGTAAACTTCGGGCAAAAGCGGATGGCCTGCGCGGCGTGTTCGGACCAGGGAGAGCAGCGACATCGCCCCCCGGTTTGTCACGTCAATGGTCGCTGAGTACAGTTTCGGCAAGCGACCAGCTACCGTGTTTCTGGGCTAAAGAGTCGCCTACGAAGAACGGGCATGAACTGAGGTGGAACAGGTCTGTTTTGGGCAGCTTACTGCCGGCTCAGACCGTTACCGTGCCGCCGCGGTAGGTTGGGGTGTGGGTGTGCACTGAGGTCTTCATACCGTGACGGTAGTTAACACCGGCAACCACCCTGGTAACGAGGGTGGTAACCGCGATCTTTCGCGGTAATATACTAGGAATTTGGAAACCGTTGACCGCGTGAATTGCGGATTGCGAGATTCTCCGCTATCTGCATGCACTCGGTCGCATCTGACAGGAAAAGCTGGCTTGCGTGATCTGCGGCTGCAGACCAATCAGATTTACATAACCACTGCTGACTACGGTGCTTGCTCTTCCGGAGCATTCCTGCTTGTACGGTTGTAGTTTATCAACATTGCTACCTTCTCATTGTCAATTGGCAAGTTTCAGAATATTACGATACTCATGGAAAGTTCGGTTTTTAGAAGTGGGGAGCATTGGATGATGCTCACACCTTGAAATTTTGAGTTCTTGTTTTCTTTGTTGTATCACAGAGGAGGCGCGGCACTCTCTAAATAATTTGCAAGCCTAAGATTCTCTGTGTCAGCTTCGTTGGGTCAAAGAAGTGCAGATGTTCTCAAACGATTTGGCCCCCGGATCTCGTCTGCAAACTCAGCATCGTGGCACTGCTAATCCTACAACTGCCAGGGGCCCACTTTCTCCTATGAGCGCTGCATTGCGGCTGGCAGACTTTCTCCGCCCGGGTTTAGAATAGCTAATAGTTCCTTCAACCTATCCCAAGGAGGCGCTTTGATAGCTCCTTCGCAAGTTTGATCGGAGTTTGAATTGTAGAAAGAAGGGCCAGCGGCAGAATACATTGACAGTGCAACGGGTTGGGTTAGTTCTGGCCTGTTGGCAGCTTTCAGTCCCGCCACAGTAGGCTAGTCAGCAGTTTGCTACACTCTCAAGGAACACGCCGCTGCTGATCTCAGCCACTGGCCGGTTGCTTTGAACAAACTGGGCTGTTCATCGAGTTTGAGGGGGGCAATTTGCTGGGCCCGATCTACTCCTCATTGCAGCTTGTTGCGGTAGCCCGCCAAGCTTATCAAAGCTTTCACAGTGGCTTGGCAGCTGGTTCCTGCCATCTGAGCTGGGGAATCGGAGGGATTAACTAGCTCGTTCACTCCGCCCAGAGCGAGGAGAATCTCAATAGCCCACTAGCTCGTCGTTTTGGGTTTGGCTAACCGGTGGCCTAACATGTCCCTCTTTAACCACCTCCGAGCGCTCCAGGTTCTTTTCCTCTTCATAGCCGATCAGATTACCGAGCCCATCAGGAAAACCAAAACTGGCGCTGCGATCTTGAACTCTGTACGGAAACGCTTTTCTGGGAAGTCCTCTCTCCCCGGATGGGGACACATAGCGGAAAAGAGTGAGCGGAAAGCGGGCAAAAAGCGGCGATCAAGACGCGGGATCTGTTCCGGAGGGGTGGTGAGATGGGTACCCATACTGTTCCTTCCGACGTGCTTCGTCTACCTGTTTGTGGTTATGTTTAGGAGCGGGATCAGCGAGGTAACCCACGAGGTTAGCGTGGTGACCCACGGGGTTAGTACCGTAACTCACGAGGTTTACGAACGGGCGGGGCATTCGATTGAAACATTAGCGGCTACGGCGCAGCGGGGGCGAAAGGCGCTTGCAGATGAGTTCCGGACGCCGGCACAGGTTGAGATTCGGACGGTGGAAGTTCCCGCCCCCCTGGAAACATTCGACGAGGAAGATTTCCTGAGCTCGGAGGTGCCCACAAAGGGGAGGAAAGACTTTGTCAAGAACGGGGGGGTCAAGAAGGAATGGGGGGAGGGCGAAGCCGAAAAGCTGCGAGCGATCAACGATAAGTACTGGCTCGCCATCTGGCGGTTGGATGCGGAGTTCCGCCGATCCGCTATGGATAAAATGCAGATTCCGATCGTGAATTTGCCGCCTGTGGAGCGGGATTCGGACGCGTTGTGCGACTTCTCGGCGTCCGAGGTTTCGGACACGCCACGACCGGATCGGACGGTGTACGACATCTTCCTGTTTAAGGACGAGCGGGACCTGCTTGAAATCAGGTGAGACTTTCGTTTTGGAATTGGGGTTAAGGATCTAGGGTTAGGGTTCAAAAGTTTCTTAACGAGATTCGTCCGCCACCTTCGACAGCTAACAGTTCCTCACAATTCTAGCCTTGCGTCACTGCTTTGCTTCTGATCTCCGCCGCCAAGCCTGCCTTCTCACATCCATCTCAGGATTTGTCGGTTGATACCTCAAGCTCTTGTCCTTACACCGCTTTTGCTTCCGCAATGTTTGAACCACACAAAAGGACCTCTGTTTGCTCGCAAACCTTCTGATTGCGAGCCTTGTGTTGGAAAACGTTTTCTGACACTGATACAATGCCACATACTTCAGCTTTTGAAACTAAGAACATTGTTTGGAGCTCGTCAATTTGGTCTTAATCAGTTGCCAATAAGTGGCAAAGCTTCGATTTGCTTTCTTTCTTCTTTCATGCCCATAGCCGCAGCGGAAAGACACATGCCAATGAACATAATTTCCAGGCACTTAACCACGCATTGACCACTTTTTGCAGAGTGCACGAGTTGCAGAGCGTCGTCGACTGGTTCGTCATCGTACAGTGTCCGATCACTTTCATGAACCGGACCGTCGAACTCGTCGATCCCATAAGCATTCCGGGCGTCGCTGATTATAAGCACAAGATCAAGCAGGTTATTTGCGACCTGAAGACCTATCCCCTAGAGGTGAGAGCGCAGTCTACCAAAGATTGAACTGTCTAAGTTCGGACCATTATCGGACTCGTCCTCAGCTTCTCCTACTTGGAAACGTTGTCTCTAGAGCTGAATCAGGCTTGACACTTTCACCCTGAAGAATTGAGCTTCGCCCTCAATGATCCTTAGTAATCTTCCGGTGCTGGTCGGGCTGTTTGGCAAGGCACTTTTGACACCAATAAGGCAGGTCGAAGCTGATTCCCGGTTTCCGGTCCACCCCCCTTTTGGCTGGGTCGGTCGATCGGGGGGAAAATTAGTTGGTTTTATGCTAGTATGTTCAGAAAATGTAGTATTTCGGGGGCAAAACCCAAAATCTGGCCCGGACGTTGCAGATTTTTGAGCCAAATTCGACAAATTTGGGGCCAAAGGCCGACAATATTCATTATTCTTTTCGGGGACCGGAACCGGGATTTAACTTCGAATGGCCTAACATCGCATTCCCGCCCATAGTCACCTTGACGGATTGCGGAAGGCTGGAAACCGAGAGATTGTCTCGTTCTTGATCTTCCTCAAACCTGCCCTGACACTCCCTCGGAAACTCCGCGAAACTGATAAGGTCGGAAGACATAGTGCTGGCGCCCACCTCCATACTGGACATATCAAAGCGACGATGTCATTACTTCCGGTTATCACAACCTTTCTCGGATGCCTTTGCAAATCGATCTCTCGGTCCCCATACAAAAGGAGTTTCTAAGGCTGCTACTCGCACGTAAGCAATGTGCCCGCTTCTCTCCTCAGTCGTTCTAGCACGTCAACAAAAAAATTGAGGTACAAACATTTCAGAACCTAATCTGCACGGCAATCTTTAACTACCACCACAGAAGACCAGCCCCTGGTAGCGCAAAGCCCACATACCCTATGTGGCGCTCGACTCCTATCCCGACGTATCCCGTGCAATGATGACGTCATCATATGCACCATTTTTAGATCGACATCACCCCTGCTCAACTGTGGTCGCTATCCATGCTCTTAACCCCGCTTTTAACCTCGCAGGAAACCAGCCCGTGGAAGCGCGAGGCCCACATGCGCAACGTGGCGCTCGACTCCATCCTCGACGTTTCCCGCGACGACGACGTCATCCTGTATGGCGATCTCGACGAGATGCCCTCCCGAGCGACCGTCGAGAAAGTCGTGCGCTTCGAAACGGCGCAGTTTCCGGTCGTCATGCAGATGCCGCTGTACCGGACGAACTTCGGGTGCCTGGATCGGAAGCTGTACGGGAAGGATCAGTGGGCGGGGACTGTTGGTAAGATTACTTCTGCGTGCTTTTCCTTACCGTCTCGCATTTTGACTCCTCATTTTTGTTTCTGTTGTCTGCTTCTGGACAATGTTTCTACTGAGAATCTGAAGAAGCCTGATCGGACGAATGTTGGATGCCGTGATCGAAAGCTGAACCAAAAGGATCAGTGGGCGTGGAGCCGACCGTGGGATGTTTTGTCCTTCTAGATTAAGGAATCTGCTCTGTGCCCGTCCCTACTATCTTTTATTTTACGATTGCAATTGCTGCTGTTCTGGACGAACCACACAAGTGTCCAGAAAGGCAGAGACAGTCAGTGGGTTTCCTCTCCTACTATATACTAGGGGATCCTATCTATTTGAGATCCAGTCTGCTTACGAAGGAATCAGCAGATGACGATGTAGTAAACAGATCCAGGTCCAAACTTGACATCTGTGTACCACTCTAACTCTTCCACTTTGCTAAATCCTGGATTCAAGTAGTTTCCGTTACCACGAAACGAGGTCACCACTAGTCGGCTCGTCCGCTTGTGAGGACCTCCCTTTCATGAATCAGCCCAGGAGCTTCGGTGGCTACGTTTTTCATTTCATCTTCACTAGCGGTTCCGGACACTTTCGTAGGTCGTCTGAGAGGCCCTTATTAACGTTCCCTACTCTACGACCGGCCGCCTGGTGCAATCGCGCGAGCTGCCCTCCACGCACACGGAACTAGCTCTTTCGGAAGCACTCACGATTCGAAGTTATACCCATCTCGCCCTACCACTTACCTAGAACTACCCCCGTTTTGATTCAACTCGTTCACCAAATAATGCCACTTGTTTTTCCGACTCTGCAGCCGCAACCGGTCCGCTCGCGAGAAACCCCCGTCCACGAAGTTTGACAAGCAGCTCCGGTGGGAGTTGCGCAGTGCTCGTTCTCCTTGTTTTCGTCTGCGTTTTCCTGACATTCCTACTTTCCGAAGGCCGATTGTCTTACGTTCATTTCTTTGCCTTTTCTGCAGCGACCCTCGGCCAATTCGTCTGTCCGCGCAAGCCGGCCTTTCACGAAAAGAACAACCAGCAACGTCGGGGGATTTTACGGTTTGGGATCGTTACGTTGTGATCTTGAATGTTGATAGACTCGAATTAACCCGCCCCTGCCCTTAATCCTGCAGCAACGACCGGTCGACTCGTCCGCTCGCGAGAACCCCCCTTCCACGAAAACGGGAACCAGCTGCGGTGGGAGTTGCGCGGTCACGGGACAAACGTCATCAAGTGCTCGGGTTGGCACTGCAGTTCCTGCATGGACGTCAGCACAATCATTGGCAAGCTGTCGGAGTATTCACACGCCGACGAGATCGGGTCCGACCAGAAAGACCCGGATATTCTGATGGACGAAATCGAGAGTTGTCACTTTGGGCTCTGGAAGCGGACGAGAACCTGGAAGGGGCTGCCCGCGTATGTGGTGGCAAACGCGGAGCGCTTCGCATACCTTATGCCGCGGTGAAGAGGGGGGGCTGCCCGCGTATGTGGTGGCAAACGCGGGAGCGCTTCGCATACCTTATGCCGCGGTATAGGGAAGGGGCTGCCGGCGTATGGGGTTGGCAAACGCTGAGCGATGCGCATATCTTATGCTGCGGCGAAGGGGAGGGTTGCCGGCGGTTGTGGTCGGAACTGGCGGAGCAAACTTATGTGCTGCGGTGAAAGGTTCGGCGTTTTGGCCGGGGGGGGGGGGTTATTGCGCCAGCCGGAAAGGGGGGCAACTTTTGGCTGGAGATTGGTAGCGGTCCTTCAGGGCAGGCGACGTTATTTTAACCCCCACTCCCGTCGGGTTTGAAAGGGGGGGGGTTAAAAGTTGGGCCGGTCATTGAGGCGGGGGGAAGAGAATATGCGAAGCGCGACGGGACGGCGTTGAACGTGAGCTTGTTGGGCCCACCAAGCGAAGCGAGATGCGCATCTCGGTTAAAAGCGGCACTAACAAACCCGGACCTGGATTAACGCATAGGTTAGTTCGACCAGCATTTGCTACAGAGCTTTTGGTGAGGTCGTCAAAGAGTCTGTTACGCCCACCAAGCGTCGACCGGACAGGTATAGGACACGAGTTGAGTTCGTGTGAGCCAATCCCTTGGATATGAGCTACCGCGCCACGTGCCGAGCGGCACTTTAACAAAAGGTGTTGAATCTAGGTAGTTCGCATGCACGCGCAGCATACCATTTAGTCATTCAGAGCCCAACACAAAACATTCCGCTTGCCGCGGTGCCAACTTAGAGAACGTTGTGTTTTTGTTTCGTTTGTGTCAAGTTGAGGTCTTCAAGTAGCGTTCTGAGTACGTTGCGGTTGTTGTGTGGCGCATGCAGTGCATGTCCGCGGTGCACATCTAACTGCAGGCTGACTTATTTGTCAACTCCTTAGTCCACCTTAAGATTGCTGACTGTGGAGTAACTCGCGATCAGTTGTGAGTCAAATTAAGACATGCATATCCATTTGTTGAGTGATATGTGGGCTCGCGGCCGGTATCTTGTACATGTGACGTGTACGTTGAAAGTATATGCGGGGCGCGACACGGCCCTGCGCCAAGCCATGGCCCACACACGTAGCGTGATTTTGCCAACTTACGCGGGGCCGGCAGCTAGCTAACTAAGTTGACGGTAGTGGTTGGTATAATCCGGGTATAATCCTCAATTTTGCACCATATTTTACCTCGACTGTATCATGCCATGTGGACCGTCATATCCATATGTGACCGTCGGACCATGTACGTAGCCGACTAGCTTGACTGGCTGGATTTATTCCATTCAATCATGCATTAATCTCAGTGTCAACTTTCAGTGTCAGCTTTCGATTGGAACTTGATTTGAGCGTTTCATTGGATTAATGCTTATGATGACGACCGTCGTGTTATAAAATACGACGGTAATGTCCAGACAGTCATATTATGCCATACCATATTACCGGTATTCACAATGCCATACTGCTGTTAGATAATCAGCATGTCACTCTGACCACGCTTAATTTATGTGTAACAATTCGATCGATATTCTGAGCGCCTCGGAATGTACACGTCGTGATTGCTCATGCTATCGGATATATGGATTCCTGGCATGTATGCACTGCACTGTATGATGTTTTCGTTTCAAAACGCCGTAGCCAGATCTGGGCTATACTGTGCAACTAAGGCTTCCCTGGCCGGCCGCCATACAATCAATGTGTTTGAGCCTCTTGTGAACGGGCCTTGGTAGCTACTCTGCCGAATTTGAGTATGCTACACGTGTGTTAGTCAATCTAGCTTTGCAATTAAACCTATAATGCCTGGTCGATCTGTTGGCATAATTTCATGTACGTTGCACTGCGGCACTCACTCAGTGCTTGGCCATAGTACACCAATCATAGATGATGTTGTTCAAACTAGGATCGGATTGCACTAAGTAATGATCGGATTGCCAACAATTAATCGATTACAAGCCGTTGGTATGCCATGCATGATGGCTCTATAACATACCATACTCCATGTTCATCATGATGGCGGCGCATGCACATGCAGTCACTGCATCGTTGCAGCGCTGTGATGAGCTGGCTGGCGGCGGGCACGCAACTGACGGTTAAATGGCTGCGGGCAAATGTCAGTCACTCGGTCGACACTGACAGTGTACATGGCAGACCGAGAGTGGAGGCCTCGGTGTTGACAAATATCACATATCCTCATCCAATTGGCCCTCTTGTACGTGCGTGACCCGGACTCTCCGACGTGACGTGTTCAAAGCAGATGCCATGTACTTTGACTGACCCTAGCTCAAGTTCACTCGATCGATCGGAGTTGGACGGACTCTAGAACCGTAGTGATTTCATCATTGATTTAAGGCCGGACTGTCAGGGTTCGTGTGGTGGCCGAAGTGTGGGTGGCCGAATGTGTGGGTGGCCGAAGTCTCTAGATCTTATGATTTAATCAAAAGGGTCAACTTTACTCAGCTATGTTAAATGACCGTTAACGTATTATGGCCTGTCAATAAGTACTTTTATGAGCGCTAGTAATTAGGTAATAGATACATACAAAGGATGTGCCGGCCAAGAAAACACGGCGCCTTTACTAAGCGTACTTTTGACCAGAATTATGCAGATGAAGGCGAATCCGGGTACTACCCTTGTCTGCAAACCAAAACACACACACATCTCTCTTGCTATTTATCTATGTTGGGCACCAATCAAAAGCCCGGGCTTCCACTCGGCTGGCAATCACTTATTACGTACAAGTATACACAAAACGTGCGCGGCTAAATCAAGCCATACCGGCTCCGTGCTCGCAAGCTACTCCCAAAGTCAACGTAACGCAACTCACAAGCCGCAAGCCAACGCCTTGGGTATCGTGAAGAACATGGCGTTGGAATTGGAGTATCATTCAAACGCATTGCCTAGGCACGTTGGAGGCTCTTGAAGAGCAGCTTTTGGGTGCCGAGTTTCATTTCTTTCAGCCCCGGCCCCGGGACGACTTTCACGGTGCTCCAGCCGACGTCGCCCGAGAGCTCGTAGGCCTTGTACCGCAGAAACAAGTTGGCCAGGAAGATCTGGGGGGGTCACATGGAAAAGCAGATGCGATTTTAGTGTTCGCACTAGGAGTTCAAAGGGAGAGGAGGATCTATCGATAAGTACTTCCTTTAGGAGGCCGTTGGGTTGATTTTGGGAGGTACGTAACAAAGAAAGAAAGCCAGGTTGAGTGCTCGCTATAAGAGTTCCAAAAGAAGGAGAGGACATTCTTCCTTTCTTGAGGTTTTGCTGTGAGTTAGCCGAAAAACGAAGGATTTCAGGTGTGAGGGAAGTGCCTTCCTATCTTAGAAAGAGGTGACCCGGGAAAGACGAATGGGTCAGAAAGGGTAATGGCCGGGAGCATTCCGGGCTGCGATTGAGGCGGAGTGCAGCTTCCCCTTTGAACTGAGGCGACGCTGACAGAACGCGTGGAAGGAGAACGTGGACCGCAGTTTGCAGTCCTGGATCCCCGCATCGCTTGGTACTCTTTGAGCGAACACTGGTCTGGTAACATCACCGCTGGGGCGGTTTAGCATGCCAGAAGCTGGCGACCTAGCATATCGATACTAGGCCTGTAAGTCGCCCGCAGAAGTCGAACCAACGGGTCAAACCTGAAGCAGTACGTACCGTTTGCGCGCGCATTGGGTCCCAAGCTGTGTGGGGGTCTACGAACTGCAGTCGGCGTTCTCCTTCCACCCGTTCTGACAACGTGTCCAGCTTTCCTCTACATGCGTTTTTAGAGGCGGTGCCATCGACAAACGATTCGCCAAAAAATTATTGCAATCACCAAAAACTCCATCCGGGAACCACTTCTAAATACCAGTGCACCTTCGGGCACGGCTTGTCCGTCGCCGCCGCGTCTTCGTTCTGACGCCCTGTTGACCACAGCAGGCAGCGGAAACCCATAGGCTGTTGCCAAAAGTGGGTCAAACTTCCAAATGCTACGATTTAACCCACCTTGCTTCCCTCAGGGACGAAGTCCTTCCCCGGGCACTGTTTGTTGGACATTAACGCCTCTTCGTTCTGACGCGCGCTTAACCACAGCAGTGCAGAGTATGCAAAACCCAAAGTTCTAAATTCAAAATCTGGGTCGATCCTCATATTTGCACTTTAACTCACCTTGGTTCCTTCACGAACGAAGTCTTTTTCGGGGCACTGCCTGCCAGTCACTGCCGCTTCTTCGATCTGCCGCCCGTTCGACCACACAGGCAGGCGAAGCCCATGACCCAAGTCCCAAAACCGGGTCAAACTCTCAACGTTCCAATCTAACCCACCTTGGTTCCCTCAGGAACGAAGTCTTTCCCAGGGCACTGCTTGTTGGTCACTACCGCCTCCTCAGTCTGCCGCCCATTCGACCACAGCAGGTAGCGCAGCAGCCCTTCTCCCTTGCCCATGAAGCGTTCGGGGATGAACTTGTCTGGCTCGTCGAAAATAGCGGGGTCGCGTTGCGGCCAGTATGCGTGGCCCGCGATGACCTGGCCCTTGGGGATTGTGTACAGGGCGTCGTGGGACTCGACGATGATGTCTTCGCGGGCGCGAGCGTGCTGCATAGAAGGTTCAATTGCTTTTAGACATTCAATCTTGCAGGTTTGACGGTTCGGGTTCGGGTTCGGGTTGTTGTTTTTCGGTGAATAGACATTTAAGAGCCCAGCAATGATTTGGCCCTTGGGTGTTGTGCACAGGGCGTCGGGGGACTCGACGGTAATGTCCTCACGAGCTCGAGCGTACTGCACAGAAAGTTTCGTTTTGTTCGAGATTTTGGGATTTCATTTTGGATTCGGCCTCGGTCATTGTCTTTGGTTGGGATTGAGAAGTGCACAGAAATGACCTGCTCCTTCGGATCGTGTACAGGGCGTCGTGGGACTCGACGATAATGTCTTCACGAGCGCGAGCGTGCTGCACAGGAAGTTTTCATTCTATTTGAAGTTTTGGGTTTTGAATTCTGGTTTCGGCCTCGGTTTTGTCTTTTCGTGCGACTTGGAAGTGGCCGGCAATGAGCTGGCCCTTGGGGTTCGTGTACAGGGCGTCGTGGGACTCGACGATAATGTCTTCGCGAGCACGAGCGTGCTGCATAGAAAGTTCACTTGCTCTTAGATATTCACTTATATTTCGGGTTCGGCTTCGGGTTGCTGTCTTTCCGTGGATAGATCCTAAGGGCCCGGCAACGACCTGGCCTTTGGGGATTGGGGAGAGGGCGTCGTGGACCTCGACAATGCTGTCCCGGCGAGACTGAGCCGTGCTGCACGAAGTGAAACGGTACTTCGGAAATCAGAGTTTTGAAAAAAGAGTTTATCGAGTCTAGGTTTCAATCATTCTCTACTCGTGTGAAAAAGTATCCAGCAATCACGAGCCAGGACTCTCGAGTACTGCACTCGCGTTCATTCTTTCTAAGGCCTCCGGTTCTCCAGGGTTTTGAGGTTTTGTTCTTAGAGCTCCCACTTTGTCTGCTATATCTCGTGCAATTAGCATGTATGTGGCTGGCAGTGCCCTTGCTTTTAGGGATCGTGTACTGGCGTCGTGAGACAACGATGACGTCCTTATGAGCGCGAGCGTGCTCCTCCGTGAGTGATACATGTAAAACGTCCTGGCGTCTGTGCGTAGTCTGTTCTAAGAAACCTTTCCAAGCAACCAAAACACAAGCTCCAGTTCGATTCGCTTTCTCTCCGCTCTCTGAGAAGGAAGGAGAGCCTATAAAGTCGAACGTCTTCAATGAAGAATCAGCAGGGTTTTCGAAACTGGAATAAAAAGACGTCATCTGCCGCAGCCCAACGAGCGTGATGAGCGCAAAACTCAAGTAACGTTGTGCTCTAAGATCGCCTCATTCATTAGGATATGACTATAACCCTAAACTTCCAGCTTTGTTGAGGAGCATCGGTGGGGATCTAGAAGCCAGCAACCAGTCCAACAGCCCCAACAAAACGACCATCCTCAAAGCTACATTTTCGCAAGCTGGCCTTTCTGCAAACTCAATTCTTTACCTGCACTGCAATGGGGGGCTGAGTCCGCAGCGTCTCGTAGATGACCGAGTCGAGGAGTGGCAGTTTAGCGATAACCTCATGGGTTAGCTCGCCGTTCCCGTACTGGGCCGCCGCGGAACGCACCTCTTCGGACAGCTTTGCCATGAGTGGTTTGCCTGGAAACGGGATGAAGACGATTCTGGCTAAGGATTTTGTTACGAGGATAACCCGGTCAGAAGCGGCAGATTTACGATTACCTTGTGGGTCAGCTCGCCAACTCCGTAGTTGATCCATGCAGCACGCCCCTGTCTGAGGTTTGCGGCTAAGATTTGGTCAAGACCTGCTGGCCGCTTCAAGCAGCGGCAGGTCAGCAGTAACTCGAGGGCGAGCTAACCCCATGGCAAGACAGCAGTGACTCAAGGGCGAGCTAACGTGGTAATCTCGTTCTTCCGGTTATTTGCTGAATATGACGTCCGTATTGGATTCTTGCCACGAGGCACGTGCCTGGCTAGCCTGCTCTTACCCCAAAGTGTCTCGTTTTTCGTCCCTTATCAGAAGCGTTGCGAGTCGACCCCGCTGATGAGATTGTTGCTCAGCTCACAAAGCCGAATCCCTTCTAATCAGCGGGCTTTCCAGTAGCTTCTTTTACGGCCCTCGGTAGTCTGAAAGGTACAGATACATGGCACCAAATTCTGTAAGACAGAAAGCTTAGCATTCGTGCACATAAGCGGAGCCTCACCTCCATAGAGAGCGATCGCCGTCAGGACGGAGGCCCACACGCCGACGATGGCGCCGTGCGCATTAAACGCGATGAAGTACATCAGGTGGACCACTGACTCGTGCTCGGTCAAGCCGTATTCCTGCAGATTTGACGGTCGCGATTAATATTATGCGTGCGTGGATGTGCCGGTCAGTCGTGAAACGTTGAAGAAATAGGTAGGTGCTGGAAGAAATCATCGTCAACCGCGAAGCAGAGCCGATATTAGGGTTTGAAGTTTGCAAGCACAGAATGTGAGCAAGATTGCAGTGGTGAAACGAGCGAAAACCGTCCTTGCAGCGTGATTGCAGCCACACGCGTTTGTTTTTATTTTCTCGCGACTTCTTCACGCTCAACTTCTACGGCGAGCTGTAGTGCTAAGCTGCAGAAGCACGGCAAACTATCTTGTTCCCAACTGCCGTTGTTTGCTCACCTTACAAACGTGACCGCCCCATAATAATGCTTTAGCAGCTTATCCTGCTACTTTGACCTCCCTGCCAACAAGCTGCGAACGGCGCATTGCCATACGCAGAAAGCAGAACCTATATGCTATGCGCAGCTTGCCTAAAAGAACCCCTGCCCCTTTCCCGATCACCCCGAGAAGCGTATCCAGCTTACGTTAAGGAAAGGTACTTTGCCGAAGAACAGAAAGAACGTAAAAAGTAAGCTCACCTTGCCGAAATGATCTCCCCCCCGTCCCCGCTTCCCTACGGCACTGCAGGAGCGTATCTAGTTTACATGGATATAGTCTCTTCTTTGTGAACAGAACAAACAAAGAGTATAATTGATACTCACCTAGCCGAGGTGGACCATCTCCCGTCCCGCGTCTGTATGAGACTCCAGAATCGTGTCCAGCTTACATGGGTCAAGCTTCTCCCTTGACAAACCAAAGAGAATGTATAAGCTATGCTCACCTTGCCAAGGTGAACCGCCTCCCGTCCCGCGTCCTTGTGATACTCGAGGAGCGTATCCAGCTTCCCCTTGACGATGAAAGATGGCAGCGGGCCGAGGAGCAGCTTCAAAAGCGCTTCAACGATGCTGGGCGCTCCGAGGTTGATGATCGGCAGAAGCTGGGGCCCCACCCAGGACTTCGCGACTGCATTTTGTCAGGAAATTAGAGTCGGGTCTTGATAACTACCCCAAAAACAGGGCCTTTCAGAAGATCGGCGCTCTGGGGTTGACGATGGGCAGAAGCTGGGGCCCCACCCAGTCCTTTGCGACTGCATTCTGGTAAGAAACAAAGTCAGATACTGGTAACTCCGCGGAAAACAGGGCCTTTCAGAAGGTCGGCGCTCCGAGGTTGATGATCGGGGGAAGCTGGGGCCCCACCCAATCTTTAGCGACTGCATTTGGCAGGAAACAAGAGTCAGCTTTTGGAGAACCTGCCAAAAACAGGGCCTCTGTCCACCCCTGCGGTCCCTGGCAACCGCATTTTGGCTGGATAAAGAGTCGGATCTTGATGATTTCGGCGAAAACAGGGCATTTCAGAAGGTCGGCGCCCCAAGGTTGATGATTGGCAGAAGCTGGGGCCCCGCTCAGTTCTTTGACGGCTGCATTTTGGCAGGGGACAAGAGTTAGAATCCGATTAATGTCGCCGAAAGCAGGGCCTTTCGGAAGGTCGGCGCCCCGCGGTTGTTATTGCCAGCAGCTGGGGCCCCTCGCAGTCCTTGATGACTGCATTGTGGCACGAAACAGAGTCATTGTATGAAAAGCTCGCCGAAAACAGGGCCTCCACACAGAGCGCCTCGAGAATTCTACTCAGTCTGTCAAGTTTGATTGCAGGAAGGGTTCCAAATCACTGTCTTGACCAGAGTAGATCAAACGACAAGAAGTGAACGTCTTGAGCAGGGAAGCGAAACTGACAGGAAATGTTTTGAAGGCAAGAAAGGACAGAGCAACGAAAGGGAGAAGAACTCCGACCGAATTAGGCACGAACGAAAGACCGAAAGGCCAAACCCGAAAGTGCGCGACTTTTGGTGGCCGCCATTCAAGAGGATGGCCACTTGAGTTGCACCCCTTGACCACATCATAGCCAAGACGATGGGAAGAACGCGAAGCAAGAAGCAAACTCTAGAGAAGAGAACGAGGCAGAAAAAGGAAGAAGCGGAAGAGGCAAACATTACTGTGCCCACCGTAGGGGAGGATATTCATCAGATGGACCATCTTGACCAGGTTAGCCAACACGACTTTTGAAGATCTTCAAAACACGATAGGAGCTTTTCGAGAACTGAACAAGGGCAGGAAACGGATGGAGCGAAAGAGCCTGAAGCGAAATGCGCGACTTACTGTGCCCGCCATAAGGGAGGATAGTTGTGAAGTTGAACGCCTTGACCAGGTGGGCCAAGATGACTGGCAGAATAGATGAAAGCAGGGGAGCAAGCTTTATCACAGGGAAACAACGGCCACAAAGGAAGGAACGAAAGAGCCCAAGAGCGAAAGTGCGCAACTTACTGTGGCCGCCATTGGGGAGGATGGTCGAGAAGTTGAACGTCTTGACCAGGTAGGCCCAGATGAACTCGTAGAACGTGTCGTACACCTCAGCGACGCCCTTCTTTTGGATCTGCAGAGAGGACGAACAAGAACGTGTCATATCGAATTCCCCTATCGGAGAATGTTATACTTATGGAGTGAAGCTAGGGTCAACATGAAGGGCTTGAAAAGGCAGATTACTTTTGCGATTGTGTGCACTCGCAGATTGTCCAACCACTAGTAATCGTTTTGCGTTGCGCACATCATCGGCCAAGCCTTTCTTTCGGAATCGTTGCATACTGGTAATTGATACTAGCTGATCAAAAAGGTCAGATTCCGTACTGTTCGGGTTCATTGTGAGTGCCTTGAAGGGTTCAGAACCGCGCCATGACCTTTAGATAAACCCCCATCCCACGAAAAGATTTTAATATCTGGGTCCCAAAGCGGTTCATTAATTTGAACACCGTGAGTCACGTTGGGACTCAGTCGGCTCTTCCAGCATCGCCTTCAGCGCCGGCTTGCTTCGGAAGCCCACAAACGGTTCAGCACATCTGCCGCAGGCAACCTCAGAATAGTACGCTTATTCCAGAACGAACGACTATCTTCAAACGGACTCTTAAACCGTGATACCCACCTGGCTCTCCCAGTCAGCGAACAGCTCGCCCGACCGCTCATTAATTGCTTTGAGCGCGTTCTTGCTGTACTTTGCGAGCAGGGCCCGGCAGTACTTCTTGGCTTGCGTATGGGCCTCTTCTGTCGGGTCCAAGTAGGCGAGGATTCGGACACCGTCAGTGTAGCCGAGGGAGGGCCGGTACGGTCCGAAGAACAGGTCCTTCTTGTCCACCTGCGCGGTTAGTACATGGATAAGTACCGACTAGCAAGAGCCTCGGGTCCCAACAGGCGAGGATTCGGACACCGTCCATGTAGCCGAGGGAGGGGCGGTACGGTCCGAAGAACAGGTCCTTGTTCACCTGCGTGATTAGTGCATGAATAAGTACTAACTAGCAAGAGACTTGGGTCCAAATAGGGAGGATTCGGACACCGTCCGTGTAGCCGAGGTCAGGGCGGTACGGTCCAAAGAACAGGTGCTTCTTGTCCACCTGCGCGGTTAGTGCATGGATAAGTATTTACTAGCAAGAGACTCGGGTTCAGGTAGGCGAGGATTCGGACACCGTCCGTGTAGCCGAGGGAGGGGCGGTATGGTCTGAAGAACAGGTCCTTCTTGTCCACCTGCCGGGTCAGAGTGAGGTCTATGAAAACGCCTTTCTACCAGGAAAGTCTTGCATTTTACATGAAGTAGTACGGTTACGTTGACCATCCATCAGGATTCAGACACCGGCCGTGTAACCAAGGGAAGGGGCTGAGGGCCCAAAGAACAGGTCCTTCTGCAGGGTCAAAACGTGGTTATTGTCAACCAGCTTGGTCAACCCGGTGGTTATGCCGACCTGCCGGATCAATCGAGGTTAAGAAGAAACTGGGAATTGAAGCGATTAAAAGGATTCCAGTTACGGGCTGAATTCAAAGGTGTCCAACTCACTCAAAGGAGACAAACACGACATTTCATTTGCAGGCTTAACAGAAGTCCTTGATAAGCTTATTTCAAAGCTCCCACAGTGATCTGAAACAAAGGTCGTGTGCCCCAGACAGCTCAGAAGTACCCTCACCACTAATGTTATCTGCAATATCCATCTTCCTGTGATTGTTCAAAGCGGCAGTATCGACAGACAGGTGCAGAGGAACAAAGGGACAAACTTTCTCGGGCCACAGAACACCTATGAGACGCAGCGCAAATGTCTGCTGTGATAAAAGATGAACTCGCAGTAGCTCGGTAGATTGCACCTATGACCTGGACAGTTACAAGCATTGAAGGCTACGTAGCCGTGGTTGAGTACCTGGTGACATCAGCGCTGACCTCACCTTTGCATTGTCGTACAGAAGCGGGTAGCTGGCCTGGTCCAGCAAAAGGACGACCTGGGTGTCTTTCCCATTGAATCGGGGCCAGTTCACCCTAATGACAGAGCTGCAGGATAAAAGTGGTATGAATAAGTACACCTGGGGCCCCCTTGGACATTGCTTTTAAGAAGGGTTCTTTTGTACTCTTGAACTTTTGGGCGTTAAACTTTCTCCTAAAGCGGGGGCATCAAGCACTGATTACAGTGCTGCCAGACGGTGGTCGTGTGAAGGTCATCAAGGGAGGTCATTAGCTGGTCAGTTCCAGAAATGATTTCCAATCTTCCTGTCCTGACACAAGGTTTTCCTTCGGAGCGAAGGCAGATGATCATCCCGCTCGTGCTTCAAGAGTAAGAGAAGCCTGGTGGCTACGTGGAAGGTTTTCATTCTGGAATATCATTGTGATTGTTACGGCAGCGGCACAGTTCGAAGTGAAGGATCCCCAGGTAATCAAGCTTTAGAGTATATTTACTTGCAGCTCGACTATCAAATCTCAATGACCCTGTCCCGCAGATTAGTGCCGCAAGGTGGCGCCTTTTCCAGAAATTGAACAGCTTGTCGAGAATGGATTCTAAGCATAGAAAACACCATTTTTGAGTTTGATAGAGACAATCTGCTGGCTGCTTTTTGTGCTTGTGGCGTGCTTCAAAAGCATCGACACAATTGTCAATCGCTTTGCAAATTGCAACCATAGGTTTAAGCAACATTTAATTGATGAGACTTTCCGCAGAAGTGTACGAGCTGATTGGAAGAAGAAGAGAGACTCTTGCAGGATGTGAGTTGCTTGGAAAGTAAGTGTCGTCACCAAAGCTAGGGAGAATCACCTTGGAGCCCTGATCAAGACCAGAGCCAGGCAACATCATCTCAAATCCAGATTTTAAGTCTGCATTTAGGTATGCACCAAACGACAGCCCTGGATTCAGGCCAGATCTTGATAGAGAGGCCAACCATTCGTTCATAATTGATCCTTCGCTTAAAGTGGGTTATGACAGTAGGATAAGATGGCCCGTCAAGCATTGCAGAAGAAGTGCAACAAGCAATTGAAGTATAAGCAAATAAGTCCGTGGTTGAATCATAGAAAATTGCATCAATGAATCGACTCAGCAACTGCCAAAGGCTTGATGGATTACATGATGCAGGAAAGAGACATCAAAAAGGCAATGTGGGCCTCTATCTGACCTCGCACCATCAGATACTAGTGCTGGTGTCAACACCAGGCCAATCAAGAAGAACCTGATTTGAAGAGCATTTGAGGGTGAAGGTTTTGTCCTCTCATTCTTGTTCCGGCCTTGAAGAGAAGAGAGAATAACAGAAAGCTCGGCTTGCAGAAGCCACCAAGTCCATAGGTTGAGTATAAACTCTTCCCCCCTTGTTCGTGAACAAACAATCAGGCATGTGAGGTGGCGCTGTGGACGCTGATGTCGAGATTTAACAGATGTCAATTTCTTGAAGGAGGTCCAGGTACAGCAGCTCAACAGATGATCACACTGCAATTGCACACTGGCGGCATCAAAATAGTTGCGATCTCTGACAACAATTGAGAATGCAGTTCAAGAGATACAGAAAACCTGGTCAATTGACGCCATTCCCTCCATCTTGATTAGCAATACAAGCGTCCAGGATATCAAAGATAGTCCTCCCCCTCCAAAAAGGTAAATCCAGTGCCCCAACTCACCTTCTGTACTGATCCTTTTTGCCTTGAATGTACTTGTACCAACCTTTGAAAGCAAAGTAGTCCAGCTTATCTTTCAAGGGGCCAAAGAATGGAATGCCATAGCTGCCTGGAATCTCCTTGTGCGGCTTGGACACTGAAAACGATGCACCGGCAGCTGCCTTGGTCTCTACTGATGTCCGCTCAGAGTGAGAGTTTTCTCCCTTAGGGAACCCAGGGACATCAGCAAACGGACATTTCAACTCTTCTCCAGGGGAAGAGCTGTTCGCACTTGCTCTGACAAGATGTCTGTTTCGTGTGATCTGGTTGCGGTGTAGCGAGGAGCTGTGGGTAATCAGATCAATAGGCGCAATGCAATACGAGGCTGATAATGTGTGCATTGATTGGGGGCAATGCACCGCTTTGTGAAGAGGCTGGGCGCAGGCTGATTGGGGAATGCTTCGAATCAACGCCATGATCAGAGACAGATCGCAGAAAGCTGACAATGCAATTCGGTAAAAAAGCGGTCGGACTGGTGTGACGTTTTGGCGCAGCTTGTTCTCAATGAGAATTCTGGCCAAGTAAAGAATCAAGACCGCTACTTTTCCCTTAGCGTGAAGGTTTTCAGCCGGCCCAGCTTAGTCCACTCTTGACTTTTAGAGAAAGTTGAAAACCTGAGCTCAAAACGTGAGCGCGTGAGTCTTTTCAAAGGAAGTTGCTCGATTGCTGGAGCAAGAACTTGTTTTTATGTAGGTAGGAACAATCCTAGGTACAGTTGGCACTTGCAAGGAAGGATTTTCAACTTTTGCCAGTGGGCGAATGAAGCCGAATCCCGATATGTCATTGTCGATGAGTGCACGACGATGATTGGCCAACTTTGACGAAGTCAGCTGCATTGATTGCTCAATGCGCGGAGCGTTGAATAGTCAACCAAGATTGCCAGGCGTCGATTAAGCTTCCACATAAGACCATCGACGGCAGTGGCCGGCAGTGATGTCATTCTACACTCCCTCATTTGCGGACACGTACTTCAAGCCGTCGATCTGTTCTAGGCAGCTTTCGACGGCTCGCAGCGACGAACATCATTGAGGCTTGTAGGTAAGTTAACCTGAGTTAACCGGCTAAATTGTGGCGTTTGCGAACTAGGTTGGCAACCTTTCCGGCTGCCGTGCTCGAGCATCTACCCCTTTGCAGATGTAGCCCGGTACGGTTTTGGCTGGTCAGAGGTCACTGCAAGGCTATCGTCGTAGTGTTAGTCGGGCGCGGTAACTCGTCCTTCTTTCGAAGGTGACACTCTCGAAAACTTCCGGTGCGCCCTTTTGGCATGGGTGCGGTGACCGGTTCCAGCAAAACATTACGTACCGGGTGGTTGAAACCCATGGGCAAAGTCACCCCCCGCGGCACAATTTCATTTCTGATGACCCTTGCAACGACGTCACAAATGACATCATACTCTCTTTGCACTTTTTTAGGATAGACAGTAGCTGATCGTACTGGCAACTCCTTTTGCCTCCTACTAGGGGCTTGTCTGAGGCTGTCTCCCAAGGCTCAGAAGCCCCGGGTGTTTTCAACCAGAAACCCTAACAGGAAAATTACGCGCTCTGGACCAGGACCAACCCTAACCAACAAACCAACCCTACCGGCCCCTGGGCTCTGAATTTTAGGAGCCACGCCCCTTAGAAGACAGAGAAGTTGCCACAGCCCGGGCGGCCGTGGGTAGGACCTAGACATGACGCAAACGGGAAAGCCGAATGGGGGCAGAATGGTGCGGAAGGGGCGGTCGAACCGGACTGGGCTCAGAGCTTGGTTGCCGGCGCCATCTGCTCCAATCACAGCAGATTGGCCCTCAAGGGCATCCTCTGCGCTTGTAGGCTCGTGAGATTAGGTTTTGGTGGTAGTGGCGTCTTGTTGAGAGCTAGCTTGGAGTGTGCTTGAGCTGGCCGAGGGTTCACGGGGTTTTACAATGCTAAAAGATCTCTGAGCTAAAACCTATGCTCCGGGGCAAAATGGTGCCAGGGCACGCAGGCGGCGGCACCATGCACAGAAAGAAGGAAGTAGACGTCCCGACCATTGATGGCTCTGCGCCTCCGGTCATGCAAAGGGGTCTTCGCAGCCCTGGTCTTAGAACGCCACCAAAGGACGGGAGCTTCTCCAGCCTCTTCAATGTCTTCATAACCCTCCTGCTGGCCCTCATGATCATGGCTCTGACGGGATTTCCTGCATCTCTCTTCAGTAAACCTTTTTTGTGTCGACACTTTCCGCTTCTTCTAAAGAACAATCGGGACTGCATAATCCTGAGGACGTCGGAACTAGGGTGGGATCATTTGCAGAGGTTCAGCGCAGGGGAGATCCCAGAGGACAAGAAGGCTGTGACAAAAAAGCCTAGGGAGGAGGTTGCTAGGGACAATCTCCAGGCTCGAGTCAAGCATTTCTTGGAGCAAGCCGCATTGCTCGGGGAACAGCAGATTCCTAGGGGGACCGTGAAGACTGTCACGTTACGAGATGCGATCGCAAAGCAGTTGGAGCCATGGCTGGGGGAGGGGAATGTGGTGTACACTCGGAAGGATCTGGAAGATTTGCACGGAAGGTTTCCGTACAGCGTGCGGGTGGTCGTCCAAGGGAAGAGCGTGCAGGTGCATCATCATAAGCAGCAGGAGGACAATCCTGAGTGGTGAGCTCATATCCATTTTTTTTTATGTTCTTCCTGAGAAGTTGACATGTTGTGTTTCTATATGAGTGAAAAGTGTCTCCTGTGTCCTGTCTTCTGTCACATACTTGGGAGTGCAAGCATCGATTCGCACTCCAATGAACTCGTATCTTGCTTTCCAGGTACAGGGCAGTGTCTGGTCACAAGGCTGAATCAGTTTTCCAGCTCCACGAGACTGAATCAGATTTGCAGCTCCAATTGGGTCTCAAGTCTAGAAGGATATTTGTCTGCTCACGAGTTTTGAAGATTTGACCGGTGACGGCTTGCGCAGAAACGACCCCAGATACTTGCAACAAATCTTCTCATGCGGTGCCTCGTAGAATATTGTTTCTGGCGCCGAAGGCTGGTGCAGTGCTTTTCAAAGCTGGTTGAGAGCAATCGGAAGTGCTCCTTATTTGAAAAGGCATTCTTTTGGTTAGGTAGCTGCATTTGGTGACTCAGTTTTGAAAAACAGTTCTTTTGGATGGCTGCATTCGTTGCGGCAGTAACACTTACAGTTGTGACGATGCGGCTGTCACATCCAAATTTCAAAGCCCTGTAGATTGTAAGGTGACTACTGAACATGATATAACTCTCAGCGCACATTGGGCCGTTGAATTTCCCCTCTGCATTGTAACAATAAGCATTTTCCTACCTGTTTGCTGTTATGCATTGGTCAGCATATTCTGCAGGCTGATGTCAGCGCGCATCAGGGAGCTCTTTACAGTACTATTGACATGTTGTACCGTTGCAATCAGATTCTTAACGATGTAATGGTTGAGTAACACTTTGGCAGAAGGAGTGGAAAAAGATGCTTTTCTGAATGGCAGGAAGCTATGTCAAATGAGTTTCTGATGGTTTCTGTTGCCAGGTAGTGGTGAAGTGGCCCTATGTCACTGGTGCTTATAACTTAGCCTGAGATTATCCTATGTAAAAGAACAGATCTTCTTCCAATCCTCGGGACTGCATAAACATTGTGGCACCTTGATTGAAGTGACTTATTTCTTTTCTCCCCATCTAGTCACGTCGCTGACGTACGAGAAAGCTGAGCCAGACTATGCAACAACGACCTGAGAGTTCGTTTGACAGCAGGGTTGCAAGAGCTGATGCACAGTTGTCTTCTGCCTTTTTCAATATTGTGCTATTCCCTTACTGTATCTCGTTTGCCCACTCAGGGCAACCTTGTCGGGGGAAAGAGTTGGGGGTCGTGCGGGACTCATTTGTCTAGAGTCATGTTCCTAGTTGCTCAAGGTGGTTAGGCCACTGAACTGAGCACTTAACCCTCCACTTGCAGGGCAACTTCGAAACAAGGAGATCAGCTGAACCCTCTTTAGGTCGACTATCTCCTCTCTAGTTGCTCATGGGGGTTCGCAACTAACCAGGGTTCTTAACCCTCCACTTGCAGGGCAACTTGGTACCGAGGGGAACAGCTTCGCGTCATGCTCGAGTGGCTCGCGGACCGGAATCTGCTACCAAGCTACGTGGACTTTGTCGCTAACCTGGGCGACAAACCGCGGGTGGTTAAGGAGGACGCAACCAAGGGCTGGCCGCCGATGTTCTCCTACTGCTCGAGTGACGAGACACGAGACGTCATTTTTGTGGGATACCAGTATACTCGGGTAAGGTTCCTGGGTTACGGTGTAGAGGGCAGGGCGTTCAAGTCATTCAATAGGTGCTGACTTCACAGCTTGAAGAAATTGAAGATCCAAAAGATCAAGTTGTTGCCCGATGTGGAGACCAGGGTGGTCAGCTTCAGGTCTTCCTACTATTGAAGGGTCCTGTTGATCTGGCGGACTCAGGAACTCCTCCTCTGATGATATTTCTGAAGTTGTTTCTGCTTGAAACGCCGAGTCTGTTGCTTGCGGTGGGACACATCCTGTTTGGCGTTGCAATTCCGTTCATGAGCGAACGTGCAAATGCATGATAATTTCCTAGTCAAAAGTCAATCCGGATCATCG